ACGTGTTCCTGCAACTCTCACAGGACATCGTCGAGAAGAAGAGGGGAATGCAAGCCTTGCTGGCCCTCGACCTCCAGAAAGCGTTTGACAACGTGAAGCACGAAGCCATTCTCAGTCGGATTTCTCGCCTGCATCTCGGGCTCCGCACCTTTGCGTACTTGAAGTCCTTTCTCACGGGACGCACTGCAGAGATTCGCCTGGGAGAGGATGTCTCACCGACCTTTCGAGCCTGCGTTGGACGAGGTACTCCCCAAGGGGCAGTACTCTCACCCCTCTTGTTCAACTTCGCAATGATGGATCTGCCAGAAAAGCTGACCGTTATCCCCGGCCTACGTCATTCGCTTTACGCGGATGACGTTACCCTTTGGACTGAGGGTCACGTATTACACGTGCAAAGCGCGCTCCAGACGGCCGCTGATGTCGTAGTAGACTATGCCAGATCCGTCGGCCTCGAGTGCTCCCATGCCAAGTCGGAACTCCTTGTGAAGAGGGGCTACCACGAGCGCATTTTCCAGGACGATGTTCAAGTTCTGGTCAACGGCAATCACATCTCTGAAAGCGACTCGGTCAGAGTTCTCGGCATGCACCTCAGAAAAGATCTGTCAAATGCAGACGCCGTTCTTCGAATTGGCAAGACGGCCAAGAGCACGTCTCGTCTCATTAGACGCATCGCCAACAAGCGAGGCGGGGTCAAGGAGGGCGACGTTTGCCGCATAGTGCACGCGTTTGTCGTCAGCCGCGTCCTCTACACGGTACCTTACATGCGACTCACGACAACCGACAAGAAGAAGCTCGATTCTATCATAAGACAAGTGTACAAGTTGGCCCTCGGACTCCCCATGGCCACGTCTACGGACCGCCTCATGCAACTTGGAATACACAACACGGTGTCCGAACTCGTCGAGGCGCACCGGAGCTCTCAAATCGTGCGTCTCTCTAAGACGCCTACCGGGCGCGCCGTCCTGGAAAGGCTGGGGATTGAGCCGGAACCTTTGCAAGAGGCCCCGGTCGACGTTCCGAAGACGGTTAGGAAAGCGTTGGAAGTCCGCCCGGTACCGCGGAATATGCACCCTCAACATCACGAGGAGCGGAGAAAGGCGCGAGCTGACGCCCTCAACAAGCAGCATCGTACCAACTCTGGCGTCCTTCACGTGGACGCTGCGCCGTATCCGGGCGGCGCCTCTCGTAACGCCTGTTTCGCGATCGCCGTGGTAAACAGCGACGGATCCACGGTCGCCCAGGCCTCCGTGACCACCAAAGCCACTGCAGTGGCGGAAGAGGCGGCCGTTGCACTGGCCCTGGTCCACGCGGGCCCCCTCTCAACGACGATCACCAGCGACTCCAAGACGGCAGTCCGCAATTTCGCCAGAGGCAGGGTGTGCGCGGTAACGGAACGCATCCTTCGATCCTTCAAGCCCGGCTCCGACCGCACCAGACACCGTCTGGTGTGGGTCCCCGCTCACTCGACCCACGAGGGGAACAAAACGGCACACGCAACGGCAACTCGAGCAACTTCCCTCCGAATGCCGGCCGGCACGCTGCCAAGCTCCCTTAGCGGCGTCGACGAAACGGCGTCCCACCACCTTTCGATGTCCAAGGACTGCCTGACGGTGTTCCAAGAGATCTTGCAACACTACCGCCTAGAACGCAGACTGTATCCACCACCCGACAAAAGTCTCACCAAGTTCCAGGCCCTGAGGTGGAGACAGCTGCAGACAAATACCCTCCCCTGCCCGGCCTTTCTGCGGCATATCTATCCAACCGTCTTCGACGGGAGGTGCGCTCGCTGCCCGCCACCAGACCCCGCCGACGGGGGGACTGGCCCGACCAAGGCCACCATTGCACACTTGTTTTGGGAATGTCCCTTCGACCCTCCCTCACCTACTCTACGGGACTTCGTCGCTCACCTTCGAGAAGGAGAAGAGGACCCGCTGGATCCCCCTTGGGCTGTGCTTCTCCGAAGCTCGGACCCACAAATCCAAGCCGAAGTCGTCTCCCGAGCGGACAAGATCGCGACGGAAGTCACGAACACCTTACAAAAAGCGAACGAGCACCCGACGTTTGACTTGGCGTGAACATCGGTGCATGCCATGCACCGATGTTCACGCCAAGTCACATCCCTTCCAGAACAGAGAAAAGCCACCTCGCATGCATTCCTTTTTAGTTCGGGAACAGAATTTTTTCTTTTTGAGAAGCCGCGGTAGGTAAACCTCTATCCTGCGGCTTCTTGATGTGGTGTTCCATTAAAGTTGTTTCTCTCTCTTAGGGACGCTTAATAAATAATCAAATAAAAGACATTGATGTCGTTAGGCGTATAATAACAAGTTTGCAATTCCAAACGTCTAAATCACTATAAAATCGCAACTGCCGAAAGCGGGTTTTCAGACAATTTCCGCCGGTGCCATGTTTGGAGAGACCTCAAGCCTAAGCCCTATATGCGCTACATAATTTATTCTACGTTAGACATATCAAAGTATAATATTGTAAAACATAAGAGTAAAATACACTTCCTATTGGAAACCTAGATTTTTAAATGCAAAATGTTATATTTTTAGTGCGAAATTCATGCTGATAACAACAGAATCCTTTTTTAGCGTATTCAGAGGCTTAAAAATCAAAACCAGTGCATATACCTCTAACGGAATGTATTCTGGGTAAAAGAAGGGTGTGAAGAGAACGCGATGCGAGAAAAGGAAAACAAATTAATTTTTTTTTTTTTTATATACAGCGTGCTGAAATGAAACGAAAAGTGAAAACCTTCTCTGTTTCATAATTTATTTCTCAGTACTCGTACATGATAAATGCACAACTTTACTTAATTTGGAAGGCAAGGAAATGTTCTACACGTGGTATTATTTTAAAAACAATACTAAACATAGTCGACTAAAAAAAAAAAAAATCCGCAGTTTACCGGGTCACAGTTGTTCGCGGAGGCATGTTTAAGGATTTTTACAAAGATTGGAACAACGAATAATAAATAGTAGTTGGAATGTCGTTTTACAGACTTGCATATATATACAGTCAACCCCGTTTATAACGAACAGCAAGAAACGCTACGATCAGTTCGATATAGCAAGTAGTTCGATATAGCAAAAACTATTTACAACGAACTTCCACGATGCGTTCGTTGTAAGGCGAGAGCTTCTCTTTCTTTCTCATCTCTTCGCTTCCGCCTTGTAACAATGCGCTACTTTCATTTCTAATTTTTTTGTTTGTTTTGCATACGTGTATATTTTGCTATTTTAACTATTTCTCCTTCTGAATCGCTTCTCTTCACGAACAGCCGCTTTAAAATAAAAAGTTGTTTTTTTTTTTTTTTCGTGCGTGCCTGCAGTGTTTTTTCAGCTTCTGAATCGCTTCTCTTCGCTCAAATTTGTTCGCGGCTTGAGCTTTTGGAATTTTCTTTCTTTCCTACTTTTTTTTTTTTAGGAGGGGAAGGGACAGGCTAGAAGACGGTTGTTCGCGCGTTTTTGGAAGCCTTCCCAGGGGAAAGATTTCCATATAGCCAATGTAATATTCGTTACAAAAAGTACTTTTTACATGCATTTTTATTTAAATTTTCCGTGAGTTCGATATTGACAATAATTTGTTGTATGTGGGTTCGTTCTAAATGAGTTTCACTTAACAATTTTAAAATGCAGAAGCTCCCTTTTAAATATTTCGAGATTGAGAGTGGTTCAAATTTAAAACGCCACACACAACAACGTCAAAACCTACCATCGGTATTTGCTATTTTTTTTAGCATATTTAGAGGCTTAAAACTCAAAACCAGTGCATATACCTCTAACGGAATATATTCTTGGTAAAAGAAGGGCGTGAAGAGAATGTGACGCGAGAAAAAAAGAAATATAAATGTTTTTTTTTTTTTTTTTTTTTTTTTTTTTTTTGTACAGCGTGCTGAAATTGAACGAAAAGTCAAAACCTCTGTTTCATAATTTATTTCTCAGTACTCGTACATAATAAAGGCACACGTTTTGCTTAATTTGGAAAATGATGAGAGGTTCCACACGTGATATTATTTTAAAAACAATACTAAACATAGCCGACTCAAAAAAAGAAAGAAAAAGAAATTCGCAATTTAGGTCACAGTAGTTAGCGGAGGCATGTTAGGGAATTTTTACAAAGATTAGAGCGACGAATAATAAATAGTAGTTATAATGTCGTTTTACCTACTTGCATATATATCACACTAAAAAAATATAGACGCTCTCTTTTGAATACTTTGAGATTGAGAGTGATTCAAAAACGCCACAGACGACAATCATCAAAACCTCGTCGTTCTTTCTTGCTTCTTTGAAAAATTTTTATTCAGAAACTAGACATGTCAGGACATTAAAAGAAAAAAGGATTGTTCTTCTTGGGACATGCGCCACAGTATATAAAACAATTTGAGGCAAAATAAAAAATACGACTGCACTTCGTTGTCTGAATCCAAATGAAACCGCCCATATATATATATATGTATAATACGCAGCTTGTACCCTGGAATGGGCAATGCCTCTGCCTTTTTATGGCCCAGCCATGAGATTCAATAGACCATTCCGGGAATACGCAGCTTCTCCTATCGTCGTTTCGGCGCACTACGGCAATCCATTATACGGCGCGGGACGGGAAGGAGTGTTCATGAATAGAAAGAGCACTTCATATTTGTTTAGAGTTTTGCGATTTTAGAATGGAAAGAAAGCATGGACAATAACAAAACAAAGTATGTATCGGCATTGTGGTGTGTTGGCTCTTTTATCTGTACACTCTTAAAAAAAAAAAAAAAAAAAGGAGTCCAAAGGGAGTCGCTGCTTCCATGACTCTCTTCGCTGCCTCCATGACTCCCTTTGACACTTCACGACTCTCTTAGAGAGTCAATGATTCGAGTGACTCTGTTTTGACTCTTCCCCTTCTCAACGGGAGTCACAGGTCAGCAGCATTTGCACTACCGAAAAAAAAAGATGTTAGAGGCACAATGTTTAGCAAACTGGGCACTACTCTACATTCACAAAATGTAATTAAAAGTTCAGGCGAGATTTAGCAACACAAAAAAATGTATGTCCGAATTTGTAATCTTCGCAATTTGCCTGCAAAAAATATAATCGATTTTGAGGAATCAGTCTAAAAGGCAAGTCGGATAAAGCCCTAGCAAACAGTTTCCGGTTAGCCCCAGCCCAGAGTTCGAGGAATCCGCCTAAAAGGCAAGTCGGATAAAGCCTGGGCCAACAGTCTCCGACAGTCTGTGGCTGCTCATTACACATATTAACCCCCCCCCCCCCCCCTCCCCCCGTAAACGCTGCTTCGCGGCGTCCGGCCGGCAACCCAAGCCCCGCCGTTTCCCTATGCACCTCTAGAAAGGGAGTCCCATACCATATAGATCAAAGCTTCGTCGATAACATTTTTTTTCAATAATAATTGTGCAAAAAAAAAAAAAAAAAAAGAAAGAAATTAAAAAGGAAAGGAAAAAAGTATGCACGAAGTTTCGTCAATAATAATTGTTAAAAAAAAAAAAAAAAAAGATCAACAAAAAAACATGTATGTTTATTTTTTGCATCGAACCTGGGTTCGCTCCGAATGAAGCGGGCATCTTTACACATAGCTACACCTGCGAGTACTCGTTTTGAGAATTCGTTTTATACGAGATCCAACAAGTTTCGCGTCGTGCATATTATTCTAAACTGAATCCTGCCGTCTGCATTTTACATATTTCTAGAACTGTCGTGTGGTGTGTCTCTGGGAGTGGGTGAAGGTGCAGCAGCTTATTCAAGACTATACTCCATTTCATACATAGCGTGCAACGCAGTCAAAGCTAGCGTACCGGTTTGCATCGCCGACCGTGTCTACGTTCACCCCATAAAATAGTGCGTCCCCTGCAAAAACATTTAAAAAAAAGTCTAAAAATGTGCCTCCTTGGAGCTAGTAACTGATAGTGGCGTTATGAATTCGACGGAACACACATTTTTTTTTAATAAAAAGGAAAAGATAATGTAAACTACTTACATCGAAACAGCCCCACAATTCCCCACGCCACGCGTTGCATTGTGGGGTTAAGTAGAAGCCTTGTGGGATTTTCCGGGAACGCCTATTTGGAGGCTCGGAATAGTTTCGCTTACCGCTATGGTGACATTAACATTACGTATGCGTACATATAGGTCCTGACTTTGATACACGGTTTGAACGGTCTTTTGGAACTTTTCTATTCTTTTCCAGGTACCATGAATGTCGGTGCAGAGTGCAAGTCTGTATACCTTACCACATTAAAAAAAAAATCCAAGTTGATGCGCTTCCCATGAAACTTGGACTAAACATTGTGACGGACAGCTTCGACGGATAATGGTAGTATGACGGCATGATCAATAGTAGACGAAAGTGGACGCATTTTTTACGAACTTGCTGATGCTGCCTCTTTGGTCAAATGTTTTTCACTCAAAATGCTCACGAGCTCTGCGGGGAAGCTGCCACTGCTTTTGGCAGTGGCAGCACCCCTTAAGTTCACAATGCGCTGATGGGATGGGAAATGGCTCGCCGGCGGAATGTCCAACGGAATGTCCAACGAGCCTGAATGTCCAACGAGACGAAAGATCCAATAATGGATATTCAGGCACGTTGGACATTCAGGCTCGTTGGACATTCCGTCTCGGTTGGATCTTACGTCTCGTTGGACATTCAGGCTCGTTGGACATTCCGTCTCGGTTGGATCTTTCGTCTCGATGGACATTCAGGCTGGTTGTACATTCCGTCTCGGTTGGATCTTTCGTCTCGTTGGACATTCAGGCACGTTGGACATTCCGTCTCGCCTGTCACGTGCTAGAATAATTTGCCCTCTTAAATGTACAGACTTGTGTGTATATTTAGTCTGCGTTCCTGCAGGCATTGCCGTAGTTACATCATACTAAAATGTGCCACAAAAGCCGACGTTGACGGACCGACAAAGAAACAGAGCAGACACAAATATTATAATTTCATCTATAGGAAGGCTTGATGGTTAGTTAGCTGAGTGCCGATGCGCAGCTATGTACCAATCGGTTAAAGGTGTCGATTGTACGACGCCAAACGCTCCTTTGATATTAACAGTTCAAATGTTTGGAATATTCCGATGACATAGGTCAGCCAATTTGAAATATATAATAGGGATGCAATGTATAGTGGATCGCAATTGGGGGACGTCTATAAAAGCCGCGCTTCAGAACCCAGGAATTTCTAGTTCAGTCCTCATCCCTGCCCGTTTCGATCTATTAGCCCCGAGAAGTTCGCGTGGCGCCCCCTTATGGCAAACCGGGGTGACGTCACGGCGAGGAGAAAAGTTTTCCCCGACTCGCCCCGCTCGCCTTGTGGAGTCTGTGACGACGCTAGCTGTCGGCGCGCTCGTTTCTATTGATTTTTTTTGGCGTGTTTTTCGTAGGAAGTGTAAATTTTTACATGTGCCTTTATTGAGGTATGTACTGTAGGTACAGGCGAAACTTCAACCATCATTTTAAGCATGGTTGACAGGTCAGGCAACGCATGAATCTCAGCTGGCATATGAAAACATAAAAATATGGCCACAATCGCAGGAGCATCACTATAGATCTACATCTCGCACAATTAATGCTGCTGATGGTCTGGATGAATTGGCAGGTTATGATATACTTTTTTGTATCTCTGCTTTTAAACAAGATCGCCGAAGCAGAAAAGCTGCATGCTGCTCGAGCAACATGCTAAATAAGTCTGGGCCATGGGGAGAGAATAACAAGTTATACAGCCCAAGTGCAGGGACAAAGTAAAAAAACAAGGAACATTTATTATATACATTCCTCGCATTTTACCTTTGCTGGATTCGGATAGTATTTCAATAGACTACACGGGTGGTATCTGTGGACTTGTTTATATCAACCCTCAAGTAATGTATAACAAACGTAAGCGGAGGTGTCTAACTCGCTATTAGTCCCTTAAGTCCTAAAATTGTGATTTTACTTAAATTGAATTGTCCTGAAGCTAAAATAGCAGAAGCTTTTCTTACGCAGACTGTCGCTTTTCACAGGTTCCACATTTTCTGCTACTAGTGCAGCCAGTAGCAGAAAATGCTACCACTGGACAGACGTTCGAATGCTACCACTGGACAGACGTTCGAATGCTTGCTTTTCTTCCTGTTTTCCTCTGTTGTCAGAGAGTCCAGCTGCACGGAGTTTGGAGGCCGAGGAAGCTTTTGGGACCTGCAGCAGTGTCTCCTTTAATTGAAAATGACAATTCAGACTGAACAGTGTATTTTCCGAATACCCAAGACTGCAATAAAGAATTTCAGGAAAAAGTATAAACATTTCAAATGACGGCACTATTGCTGTGCATATTTTGGGCAGTCAACACATATCATACAGGCACTGGGGTCAATTCGGCCGTCTTTGCTGCTACCATACAAACTAATTTCCAGTAATTGTGCATCTTCTAAGAAATACGCCTGCATACGTGTATAAACTATATAATTTATTTACGAAGGAGCTACATTTATGTAAAACAACCCTGTTCCATGAGCATTTCAAAGATAATCAGACACGGGGCCTTTAAAACATCTGCGAACCAGCGCATAGAGAGTGGCAGCGCAATGTCGGGGTCGCGATCTAATTTGCAGACCACTCAAAGGCCCATGATATAAATGCCACTTCAAATGCCTTGCAAGCAGAATGTAATATCGTCCTAAATCATGAACATGCAAGGAATAGAATCCCAGCGTCTGAAACATTTGTGCCACCGCTTCACCGATCCCTCGCAAAATTGCCTTGTGTCGTGTGGACGGAGGGGGAGGTTCATCGGCGGTATTGCATCCGCCGATAGCTTTCGGGTTCTGTAACCCAATTTGAAAGGTAAAAGAGACAAGCAGGCTTATAAAATGTACGGAAGCACGTCAATATCGGCCTAACTCAACGTCTTGTACACCGGGTAAACGAAGTCCAGCTCCTCGAAGAGCTTGCGGCACACAACGCCAAACCGGGACACCGGTGCTGGGAAGCGAGCCGATGCGAGATCGCGGAGCGGAGTCCTCCCCATGACGTCACGGTACACCTCACCCAATCAGGGCGCGGCGACCGCAGCGACGCTTGTGTTCGCTCTCGGGGCTAATAGATACTAATAATACTAATAATACTAATAAATAATAATACATACGGAGATCCGCATTCCAAACACATGACCGCCCGCCAGCGCCACTGACTATACGGAGAGTCAATATTTAATTTTTTCAAATGAGCTTTGGGAGCTGTGGGTGCGAGGCATCAAGAGTTTCCACAAGCGTAATTTCCCACTAATAAAAAAAATATATAGATATCTTTTTTTTAAAATAAAATCTACACCTAGCGCGCCTGTAAATGCATGGGGGTGGTGGCTGGTGTGACCCGACAATTACTGAGTAAATGCGGAACAATTGTGTGAATTTGAGAAATTTTTATTTTTGTTCGTTTATCTTTGGAAGAGACAACTACTCACTTTACACTTCAGTCGTCAGTAGTTTACATACGCATCCATTCCCTACCAATAGGTTTGTATGTCAGTGAGTAGAGCGATAATACTAGTATCACACAATACGCAACTTTTTTTTTTTTTTTGCATGTGACATGCATAGTGGTTTTTAGAAGCCCATGTAATTTAACTGGCTTCTGGAAGCACTCCAAAGCTCGCCATTATGTTGAGGTAGTTCATGACGTCTTGGTAGGTGGGAGCTTGACTGCTGATAAAGGAAGCGAACTCATCTATCTCGGCGTGCAGCAGAAGGTTCACACCCGGATGTACTAATAGCTTGCATCATGTGTGAATATAACAATAGATCGTGCCACGTGGCTTTCTATTCTTTTAGGGTAAGCGTACTGCACCACGAATCCGGTCACTTCGTCGAAATTCCATTGGTCTCTGGACAACTGGAAGAAGGACAATTCGTCCTGATTCGCAGAATGAAGAATGGGGCGAAAGTCCCCGTTTGTCGAACTGTCGAAAAGAGTTGATTAGGGTTGGGTGTGTAGATTGCCGGTGACAGTGGGGGTCAACAGTGAGACCTTCTTTTCAAAAAGAGAGGATGACAAATGCAGCTCTCAGAATTGGCAAGGGTCCGATAGTGAATCGT